ATTTCAAATGCGAAGGTAGACGCAGCGAAGAAGAACAGAGCATTTAATTACATTTTCTCTTTACTGGACCTCTTTAAAATGCATTTGGAATACCCGCTGCATTAAGTCAACACATACAATATATAATAAATTAATAATATAATGTAACAGCAATAATAATTGGGAGGTGGGGCGCGCTGTTCTTTATGTTCTCGAGGAGTCACCTACCCACACTTCGAAAACCCTGCACCCAAGGAACCAATGGATACAATGTTTACCATTGTGCACTATATTAGACCAAGTTTATTCAGAGTATTAGGATTTGTTGGCACACAGATGTTTGTACCAAATGCATGGAAATCCATAATGTCTCTTGATACTTTGATCTTGAATAGTGCTATTACTGATTGGCTAACATTTTTCAACATGGTCACGCTGTTGGGCATAGCTAAGGAATTCATTTGCATGAATGCTTTCGTGCCCAGGTAAAGCTTGAACAAGGTAACAAAGTCTTCAGTTCAAGCCAGCCTATCCTCAACAGTTACACACTGGCTTAACATACTTATCTGCCTATTTCCGTTTTAAAGGTTTCTAATTATACTATTTTTAGGCGTATATTATATGTCTCAGAGTATATAGAAAATATAAAAACATGTCTATCGAAGTGTTTTCCCAAAATATCAAACAGCATCACCCATTCTAGCTATGTCTCATACCTCTATTTCAGTCCTGTTAGAGAAGAGCTGATTCTGGGTCCGTAGCTTTAAAAAAAAAAAAAATGGATTTGTTTATTCAACACAGTCTCACTCCTGATCGTCAGAGCGACGCTTGGTCAGGGTTCGTTCACGCTCGCTTGAGTTGTGAGTGCTCGGTACGGCAAAAGACGCATGATTCTGTATGTCAATGTTTCACATTGTGTGTGTTACTATACTGTTAGTGTGATATAGTTCCGTCTTTGTCTGCGGTTAATTATTGAGCGTGATATTTGGAGTTGGAAAACTGTAGGAATCCAACACTATCAGTTCGGTAGTACATCGGATAGATAAACGTAGTACGGTTTTCGTTAAGGCCTAAGATGATCACAAAACATAAAATATATATATAATTTTTTAATTCATTATTAAACTTGATAATAATTCACACCAAAATATAATAAAATTGCATTAAGGTGAACATTTCGATGAACTAATAATCTGTTATTTGAACTTTACTCTTACAGGCTACTCACAAAACACTACAAATATTACGTTTTGGTTTTTTAAAATTATTTATTAAAACTGTGAATATTCACTCGAATAAATATTAAAATATAAGAAAATAAACACTAAGGTGCAGCATTTCGATGAATTGAAATAAATCTATATTTTAACTGTTGTAGTGATCACTAAATTATCTAGTTACATAATTGACGTCATGGAACTACGGGTTGGGGTATTGTTTGTCCACACGGACACATATGAATGTTGGAACTACTTATGCATGTCCCCCCGTTTCTTCTCTCTTTGCTTTCCGGGTCTTCCAAGCTGGACCACATGTGCTTGTTCTCCTGCTAATAAAGCAACTTGGCACCTTCTATGCACCACTCTGGGACTCCCCATCTCTCGGCCTACACTGGTGACCCTGACATAAAGTCTCGCAGAAGTTTCAGAGACTGGACGAACATGGCTAGAAACGCAGTTTTTCCGCCAAACTGCCAGAGATTTTTGGAGACGTCCGTGGCTGCTTTGTGCACACGGACTGAGGTTTGTGGGGCGCCCTCCGCGGATGCCGAGGCGAGGACGTATCGCTCACCATTCCACATCGTTTCGGCACTGCGGGAGACAGCAAGCCTTCCGATCACATGGAGACGATGCACAGCCTGCTAGGTACGGAAGAGCCCGATTTATTTTTCTTCAGACGCGGGGATTGTGTCCATTGTTGAATTCTGGGGGGTGCTTGTGTAGTGATCCACTAAATATATCGGTTAAGTATATTGACGTTCATGGAACTACGGGTTGGGTATGTTTTTCCACACGGAACTATGATGTTGACTACTTAATTGTGTGCCCCTCTTCTGCTTTCTCTTTGCTTTCCGGTCTGCAATGCGGCCACATGTGCTTTTGTCTCCTGCTTAATAAAGCCAACTTTTCACCTTCGGATACACCAGGCTCTCTGACCCCTTCTCTTGGCACTAAACTGTACTGTACTAGGTACCGGTAAGAAGCCAGCTTGGACATTAGGAACTTGTTTTCATTGTATTTTCATGCTTTTTTAAAGAAAAATTACTGTTTCACATTGCTTGCCGACAAGGGCAGATCTGCTGGCACTGAACAATGTCTCGCTGCTGTGGGAGGAAACACCCTCTCTAAGGACAGAGGTAAGCAGATACAGCCAGGTAGCACTTTGCTAACATGGGAACATAAAGATATTTGGAACAATTTTAATAGCTTTGGCTCGGTCTAAACTTTTTGCGAGTGGTGGAGGCTTAAATGCTAGCGGGAGTTAGGTTTGCCACTTCAGTCCTTTTTTCTTTTGGTACCGTGATATTCACACGTTCGGTTTGATGCCTTTTCAAATGATTGTGCAAGTTTTGATGTATTGCCAGCCGCGTAACCAAATTTTAGTTGAACAATGCCGACAAACAGCTTTGGTTCGGTCCACCTGTCTTTGTTCGTCATCCTTGTACGTAACTTGCGAAAACAATAATGTTCCCAAACCGGAGAGACTTCAATGAAGGAATATGAAGGCTGAAGGATTTTCGACCTCAACTTTATCTGCGTTCGCCATTTCGACAGTTCCTCAAATTACTGACTATAATATATGATGACATATCCCATCTATCGTTTGGGACTACACCTTCGCTTTGCTCGACAAACCGTGTGATTAGTCCTCAAGCTCTGTGATTGGTTGACCTCCAACTGTATTCCTATGAAAAAAAACGGTTTTCGTAAAAGATAAATTTATACGTTTATTCAGCAGTGCTTGCTTTACTCTTAGATAAATTATACTTTATTCAGCAGTGCTTGCTTTACTCTTTGAAAGTCATCACAGAAATGCATTGTAATAAAAGGCAAATACATGTATTTTAATAACCATTAAAAAGTTAAATAACCCAGCTTCCGGTTTTGGGTCATTTGGCTGTGCATCCCTTTATTCACAAATGGTAATATTTAAATGGTTTTAGGAACTTTTTCTCGATTCTATTGGCTCTAACGATTCAAAAGAGGTGTCAATCATCAAAATCGATGAGGGGGGCCAGAGATATGGCAAATCCAAAACAAATTGCTAAACCTCTCTAAAAAGGTCAAGTGTCAATTGTTTTGCATCAATCTTGATACAGGGTACTTATTATATATTATAGTTTGTATTCCTAAAGCTTTTAGTCTATTATCCCATCATTCAATGGTGGTTTTCACTATAAGTAATGTTTTTTTTCTTTTAGAATTAAAAAAAATGTTATGTTATTTTTATGTTCAATCTGAATTGACTTTAAAATAAAATAAATCTATATTAATTCTGAGTTTTCTACATCCAACTCACAGGTTTATCATTGCTTTGAGAAAAAAGATTATTAATTTAACCCTTTTAGAAGGGAAGATATGGTCATTTGTTCCGGGAATGTCATTTTCGAGCCTGAGGCCTGAAAAACAGGCTCAGGGCTTAACAGGTTAAACACCATATCATGTTCAAGTCCTCCCTGGCAACTCCAATGAACAAAAATATTCAGTTTACACTGGTTTTAAGTAACTTAACACCACATACAGTATATTGCAGAAAATGAACCACGGTATGGATGATTGGTATAGTTAAGTTTCCTATTTACGGTCGGTAAACCTTGCATTATTCATCTGTTCAAACTCCTTCCCATCAAGCTCTTGACCACTGCTTCAACTGGCCAATCATTATTCCAACTCATCCTACACTAATCCAACTGTGCCTACATTAATCTCTTAAATATGCATTCAAGTCTCAGCAGTGTTTCCCCTGTTGGCACGGCTGCCATAAAGGGTTAACAGTATTCCCTTTGAATGCCACTCAGTCCGTGCATATGTAGCATCCACTGGAGATTATAAGGACCCTCATTAAAACATGATGTAAAACCGCTGGAAGGCCAACATCTGAGTTCCTTCTCTCTATCTTTCTCTGCCCTGCCTCACTGACTCAATCACACTTTTTACACGCTTCCATCTTTTTTATGATTCCCATAATCTGTAACCAGAATATGCTAATAGAACAGGGACATTGTTGAATTTTCATTAGTTCTAATTTGATGGTATTGGTGAGATAATATATTGCAAGTTACTAACTCAAGATTTTTTCACAAGTCAGACATAGTGCCATGCTGAAATGATTATTTAACACATTTAAATCAAAGTTTTCCCTTACAGGTCGTGCTGCATTTTAAACGGGGCTAATTGAGCTGAGTCATAACACATTATAAGCATTCAGGACAAAGAATATGCTTGCTGCTGACCTTCACATTGATAATTTTGGAAAGTCAAAAGGCCCGCTTGAGTGAAGATATGAGTTAAAAAATGAATATACATAAAATGTTTAATACATTTATCTCAGTCAGTGGCGGTGCCAGGGCTGGGGTAGGCTACAGTCATACCAATAAATGGCTTAGCCCCACCTTAGCCCCACCATGAAAAATTATGTTAAAGTAAGCAAATTAAATTAAATAATTAGCAAAATGCTAAATGAACACAGATCGCGAAAATATACGGGTCGTGTCCACAATACACAAACTGATCCTGCTGTAACAATAAGTGCACGTTACTGATGCAATATGGTTGAGACCACTCAGGTTTATGCTAGAAGAAGGGTGCAGGGAATAGTCTAAGTAGTTGGGGAGTTTTATACACTAAAGGTGTGGAAATTATCTCGCGTTATAATATCAGTGCGGCCGTGGTCAGATCAAAATGCCTCTGAATGCAATTTGAATAGACCAACAGCCAATCAGAGCAACGAAACGTTGGGTCTGTGTCATGACTTACTGATTGAGATCAATCGGAACCGCCATTCAGTATCCCCATTGAATCTTCAACGTGTACTATCATACGTCACGTTCACAGTGATCCCTTTTTATTTACTACAAGACAAATGTGCCGTTTTATTTCATACAGTTCAATTTTGATTGAGACAGGGAAATAATCTAAACCTAAAGTGTAGCGTTTCACTGTCAAGGGGGGGGGGCGATATAACGTGTATGTAATTACATTGCAAATACTCACTTGAGCCCCACCACTGTATGGGTTAGCCCTACCATAGATCACCCAACAAAAATACTCTGGCGCCGCTACTGATCTCAGTTGCTATCCATTATTACACTGTGCTTGAAGCAATAGGCTTATCTTTGTGGGTCTTGCATCTCAGGCTATGTTTGCAGGTTGTGTAACCTTTTGCTGGAGGTTTGTTTGGAGGAAAGTACTTTAATTTGAAATTCATAATGGCCCATAATATGATAGAACTGAACAGTGAATTTAGTGAACATGCACACAAATAACATAATCTATCACTAAAGATTATGGTATCTTTTAAAGTGAAAAAAAAATACAATAGGCCTACAAGTGTTGGCAGGCTTCCCTACGTATTTTTTATTAGTTAGCCCTTAGGCCTACTCGCCTCTTTGTAAATATGTTTGTAGTAACTTTACACCTCCCAAGCAAGATCCCTCTGTTGTAAAACTGTCTCTGACAAAGCTGGTAATCCTCAGTTTTGACAATTATTATGATGTCATTGGCCATTATCAAACAACCCCATTGCTC